GCGAGGGACACGGTCGAATGCCTTCTCCAGATCCACGAAACACATGTGGACTGGTTGGGCAAACTCCCATGAACCCTCCACCACCCTGAAGAGGGTATAGAGCTGGTCCAGTGTTCCGCAGCCAGGACGACAAAAGTATCATAATTTCCAAAAATATATATATGTACCATACAAAAGAATGTATTTGGTGTTGGACCTGTTCTTTCTGATTTCTGCAACCAGTCTATGTCATCCTCTGCCCTCAGCGTCCGAGCCTCCCACCATCGTCCCAGAGCTGACCTGTACCACCGGTGAAGGCGAGGCGTACCGAGGCACAATTGCTGTGACAGAGTCTGGCAAAACGTGCCAGAGCTGGTCAGCTCAGACTCCACACAAACACAACCGCAGCCCAGACAACTACCCCTGCAAGTAAGAGCTCCTGTACCAAGGAATGTGCCTGACTGATACAAAACAAATGGACAAAATATTAGTAACACCTCTTGGTATAATGCAAACACAACAAATAAGCAAAAAGCCCTCAGAGAGAAACCATAATCAGGATATACTGGCTTCATCTTTGGGTTTGTCTGTGCTCTTCTTGCTCACCATCTACTTATTTTGTCAGAGGCCTTGATAGCAACTACTGTCGAAACCCTGACAATGAGAGGATGCCCTGGTGTTACACCACTGACCCCGAGACTCGCTGGGAGTACTGCAAGGTGCCGAGCTGTGGGGATGCACCCAGACCTGGTATAGCAGAGGCTGATGATGATGTTGGCCAGTTTGAAAACAACTACAGCTAATTCAGAAAGCTTGGAAATGATTGAGCTTTATTTATTGATTTTGAGTTCATATGATTTTTATTCATGTTTTTTGCAAAGGAAGGCTCAAGTACTAGACAAAACAATGAGTAGTAGAAGTAAATGAGAATTTCTTACTCAATTACAATAAAGTTAATTACAGTGGTGATGGAGGTACATAACAAAAGAGGAAGAGACACTGACCAAGAAAACAAGGATTTTCAAACTCTGGATCTATCTTCCATTTCTGCCTCACATGAAAATACATCCATCTACTTAGTCCATATTCTTCTCCCTGATTGCAGGTGACCCAGTGATCCCGCCAGAGGAGGAAAACTGCTATGAGGGCGATGGCTCAAGCTATCGTGGCATAACATCAGAGACCATCAGTGGAAAGAAATGTCAAGCCTGGAGCTCCATGACTCCTCACACCCATTCAAAAACACCACAGAAATTCCCCAATGCGTGAGTGTGAAGAATGGAGATTTGACAATTTATTTTTTAGTTCAAGCTGACAGGACATAATATACAGTACTGTCTATCACATCAGTGGGCTGAGTGTTTCTAAGATGCAAAGGTTCAGAGGTTCTGCCATGTTGTCATGAGCTGACTCATCTGGATTTGTACAGAGTTTGCACTGTTTTAATACTTAATTTCACAAGTTAGGTCATTTTTGTGGACATAATTAGGTCATAGAACAGGTTTTTGAGGTCAAATAATCAAGCCAATTTTAAGTCAATTATTTGACTAGTTGTGACATCACCAAAGCCATTATTTGTTCCTGCTGTTTACTGTCACATGAATGTTTAGGTGCAACAACTCCAGTCATTTTTCACTGTCGCTCCATCCCATCTTTTTGCTGCTAATACTCAATATTTTTGTGTCAGTGTTTTAAATGACTCCCTGTCCTGCTGTAAAACCATGGAAAGACAGCTTCATCCTGTATAAGAAGCACTGAAATAACACCACGCTTCTTTTTTTTCTGAATATCCCACCTGCTTTCCACACAAACTGTTATAAACATATAAACTGCTTCTCTTCAATGTAAAAAAGAAATCTCTAAAAAATGATCAGATTCTTTTTCAATATTCAACGATGTTTTCCTTTTCAGCTAACCAATTATTCATGCACATCAGTACTATGTAGTAAATGATAATTCAGGCTATATACTCTAAATTTTTCTTATGGTCAAGTCTCAAAATATCAAAACTGTGATGACTTGATCCTACTAACAACCATTATAGGCTTTTATTTTATGCACTTCCTCTTTCTTCCTGCCCTGCTTTGCACCAGCTTTACTACTTCCGCCCATCTGGATAATCACCCGCCAATAGAAATCACCAGCAGACCTTGCGCTCTGTTTGCTAGTCCATGTGCATTATGGTGACCGGATTCCCCTCTTGCTCTCATTATTGTTTCAAGAACTTTGGACTTCACTTACTCCCCCTGCATCTGGTTTGTTTCAGTTTGCTTCGTTTGTTACTTGTTTTGTGACTCATGTTGTTAATTTTCATTGGTTGGCTCTCTTCTCTTCATTAGCCTGCTTCCTTGTCTATGTGTTTTGTGTAGTCAGGTCTGCGCGTGTTTTGTTTGTTGTGTATTGTTGTTTGGAGTATTCTTACTGTTGGTTATTCTTTACCACAGTGGTGGTAATTGGTTTACTTCTTTTGTTTGTCTGTAGCTCTGAATTTCCTCATTTCTTTTCCAAGTCAGGCTTTTGCATTCTAACAGTAAACCTTAAAACATTATCTGTGGAGTTAGAGTAAGGAGAGTTTCTACAATATCTAGTTGTTCAAAACTACAGTATGTCAAACGTGTGCATTTGATGTTGTGCCAGAACAAGGCTATAGCAGTTCATTTTGAATTCCTGTATCTTTCCTCCTGTTTGAGTTGTTTGCTTGCTAAAAACTACACCGCCCAGCTCTTGTAGAAAATTACCAGGCCTTTAAAAATGGCATTAAGTTAAAACATTTTTTTAAATTAAGAGTTTGGGATAGGTGCCACACTGGGGAAGTGTTAAGGTTTTGCAAGGTGCACTGTTGGTTTAGATCTTCTTCTGAAATATATTGACACTTACAAAAATACAGAATATCACCAGCCTTATCCTTGGATGTCAAAACAACATGGCACATGGCACATGACTAAAACAACATCCATCCATCTTCATCCGAGACCTGGTCGCGGGAGCAGTAGTCCAAGCAGAGCCTCCCAGACTTCCCTCTCCCCACACACCTCCTCTAGCTCCTCAGGAGGAACCCCAAGGCGTTTCCAGGCCAGCCAGGAGACATAGTCTCTCCAATGTGTCCCGGGTCTGCCCGGAGGCCTTCTCCCAGAGGGACATGCCCAGAATACCTCCCCAGGGAGGCATCTGGGGGGCATCCTAAACAGGTGCCCGAGTCACCTCAACTGGTTCCGCTCAACGTGGAGGAGCAGCGGCTCTACTCTGAGTTCCTCACGGGTGAGTGAGCTCTGCACCTTATCCCTAAGGGTGCGCCCAGCCACTCTCCGGAGGAAACTCATTTCTGACACTTGTATCCGCAATCTCATTCTTTCGGTCATGATCCAAAGTTCATGGCCATAGGTGAGGGTAGTAATGTAGATCGACCGGTAAATTGAGAGCTTTGCTTATGACTCAGCTTCTTCTTCACCACAACGGATCAGTACAGAGACTGTGTTACTGCGGACGCCACACCTATCCATCTGTCGACTTGCCACTCAATTTTTCCCTCACTCATGAACAAGACCCCAGGATACTTAAACTCCTCCACTTGGAGAACTAAAACAACATCCATCCATCCATTTTCCTCCACTTATCCAAAACTGTGTCGTGGGGGCAGCAGTCTAAGCAAAGATGCCCAGACTTCCCTATCTCCAGGCACTTCCTCCAGCTCCTCCGGGGGAATGCGGAGGCGTTCCCAGGCCAGCCGAGAGACATAATCCCTCCAGCGTGTCCTGGGTCTTCCCCGGGGCCTCCTCCCGGTGGGACATGCCCGGAACACCTCCCTAGGAAGGCGCCCAGGAGGAATCCAAAACAGATGCCCGAGCCACCTCAGCTGGCTCCTCTCAATGTGGAAGAGCAGCGGTTCTACTCTGAGCTCCTCCCGGGTGACTGAGCTCCTCACCCTATCTTTAAGGGTGCGCCCAGCCACCCTGTGGAGGAAGCTCATTTCGACCGCCTGTATCCGGGATCTTGCCCTTTCAGTCATGACCCAAAGCTCATGACCATAGGTGAGAGTTGGAACATAGATTGACCAGTAAATCGAGAGCTTCGCCTTACAGCTCAGCTCTTTCTTCACCACGACGGACCGGTACGTCGACCGCATTATTGCAGAAGCTGCACCGATCCACCTGTCAATCTCCTGTTCTATCCTTCCCTCACTCGTGAACAAGACCCCAAGATACTTGAACTCCTCCACTTGAGGCAGGAACTCTCCACCAACCTGAAGGGAACAAGCCACCCTTTTCCAACTGAGAACCATGACCACAATCAGTTTCACCATAAATGCAATGATTGCAATATGATTTTACTGTATTATTTTACGTTCTTTCTTCCATGCACAAACGCTGGTCAGTGATATTAACAGACTACTGAATGTGCAGTACTTCTACATAAATAGTTTTGTCACTGTCGGTCTAGGAACGGACTATATACAGTAACTGGCAGGAGAAGAGGATACAGGGAAGAAACTCTCCTGTCATGCATACATACAGTGGCGGTTCTACATTGAATTACTCCCCGGGCGAGACCCCCCACCTTCGTCCGCTCCATTTGGGAGAGGTGAGCTCTCCTCCTGCGCCTGCGCCCCCTCCCCTCCCCTTTCCACCTCTCACACAGCTCCTGTGCACGGCACCTTCTCATCAAGCAGGGGCGCCACATATGATAGATAATAGAAAACCGCTTAGCGGCGCAGATTATTTTCTTTCCAAGTGCTTGTGCCGCCCCCCACGTGTCATGAAAGCGGATGCCAAAGAGCGCCACTGCATACATAGTATATATGACATCAGTGACATCACTCAGTCAGGTTTCCGCACTGCACTTTAAAGGGGTTGAGAGGAGCTGGTTTGATTGGACATAACTAAAACCAGCCCCGTCTCCACCTGCTCACGATGTATTCCTCCCTCTAATAACTGCCCAACTGCTCACGAAAGTGCGCGGTGTCTGTTGTAACCAAAATTACAAAACACCGTTGAACACGCCCATATTTACCTTGCGCCACGTGAGCGTAGCACTGCGCCCTCTTGTAGGAAAATGGAGCCCATAGAGCGTATACTCATTTAAGTAATTCAATTGTTGTGCAAGTGTTGTAAATGACCTAGAAGCCTTTGTACTCTACTTCTCCAGTGCCTTCCTAATAATGCCCCAAGAGACAGTAACTCAAAAAGTGAACTGTGTTCATGACCAATCGGAAACAATTTCCGCCAGTGGGAACAGAAAGACCTGGTAGAGAGCAAACACCGGAAAGTGCTCTGGACACGCTTCTCACTCAACTAAATAAGACCACTCATCGACAATGGAGGCAGAAAATATGGTCCACTCGGACTCAATGTCTCCAACCTCCCCCGGGATCTGGTCAAAGCTCTGACAGGGGATTCTGCTAAACATTCCCAACAGACCCTCACAATATGTTTGGGCCTGCCGAGCCTGTCCAGCTTCCTCCCCCACCATCAGATCCAGCTCTCCAAAAGGTGGTGATCAGTTGACAGCTCCGCCCCTCTCTTCACCCGAGTGTCCAAGACATACGGCCGGAGGTCAGATGAAACAACCACAAAGTTGATCATCGACCTCCGGCCTAGGGTGTCCTGGTGCCACGTGCACTGATGGACACCGTTATGCTTGAACATGGTGTTTGTTATGGACAAACTGTGACTAGCATCCATCCATCCATTTTCCTCCGCTTATCCGGGACCGGACTAGCACAGAAGTCCAATAGCAGAACACCACAGATTAGGGGGCCTGTTCCTCACAATCACGCTCCTCCAGGTGTCACTGT